TTGAAGTATGAGGTTAAAGTTAGAGATTCCAATTGCCCCTCAGAATTATTTTTGCTGCATTGTTACCTGCATTGCAGAGATTTGTTTTTGTGAAAAAAACTAACCAAAATGTGATTTCTTAAGGTGAAAACTGTCAAATTAAGGACCCAAAATATGGTTATGTAATTGACCTGCGACCACTTGCTAATGAGGATCAGAAGGTGAAGGGTGATGAATATACCTATCACTTCAGAGTATGTGACTATTTGAGAATATCTGACTGTGGCAATTTTTCACAAGGCGGGGAAGATGCAATTTCAGCATGTCAGTCAAAGCCAGGCACTTCTTTCAAGAAGATTGCAGGTGAGTTGTCTTTTCGATATGCAGTGCTAAAAATTAAATCCTTCCTTTTCTTTAGGAGGACGTCTGTCTTTTCTCAACCCATGCAGTAAATGGTGCAAGTCATTTATTTTTAAATCTATGTTTCAGCAGCATTTATGGGAATACCACCATAAGGTGGTGCAAAGAGCTCATATGCTCTACCTTAATCCAACATCACAATAGTTTTGTTGAATGTGAGTAACGGGGTCTCCAAGTAAGACACATCCAATCCCAGGTTGGGTGGAAGGGCGGTGGCTGTGGAGGATGCCTCAATCCTAGCTGCACCATGCCCCTGGTGTTGGCTTGTGTTCCCCTCCAGCTGGTGCCTCTGCCTCATCCGCCCATCCCAAACTTGACATCCATATTTCATTCGGTAGAGTTGCTCTGTTTTCTTTGCCGAGAGAAAACTGGTGACACTGACAGTATGTGTCACGAACATTTTCAAGTATAAGTTAACTTGATGTAAGCAGTGAGTACTTGAATGAGCAAGTGGATTTTTTTTTTTGGACTTTTTAACAAGTTGCAATGGTCCTGAAATGTAACAATACCAGTTTCACAGCAGACGGGAAAAGTCAAGACCAAAGCAATAACTATTTCGAGAGATCTTAAAATTGCCTAATAATGAAAATTGTGCATCAATAATTATCCCTCATTTCTTCAGCTTTTTCAAAGACATGGTCTTGGCAATGGCAAGAATCTCTAAACAATGTTGATGTCTGAAGAGAATTTTGATTGAAACTATGAATTTAATTAGTTTTGCTTTTTGGCATTGAGTGCTCAAGATCAAATGTTATCATTTTGCAGAACCACTGATCACTATGGTATTAACCTACATAATCTGAATTTAGATCTGCATTTATATACAGTCATGAAATCCAGATTCAGTAAATAGAAATCAGTGCAGTTTTTTGACTGTTAACATAGGAAAGCATAATTCAGGAGTTGAATCTAAATATGAATTTGAAGTAAACAAAGGAATTTGCTTTTAAAGTCTGAGATTACCTGGATTAGAATAGTTTAGGAAGTTAATTTCCCTTTTGATATCTTTGTCTTTTAAATACACAAGAGAAACTCTGGCAGAGAAAGAGAGCGGCTTGTGCATTAGTCTGTTACATTCAGCTGGGTTTCAACAAAGCAAATTTTAACTCCTGGCCTTGTCCACTATGCAGTCTTTGGGAGAGAAAGAGAAAACAAGCTGTCTGCCAACTTGGGGGAATAGAATAACAATTTCTCTCTGTCCCCTGAAAGCAATCAAAAGTGAATTCTATGTTGATGATGCCCTAGAAGTCATTACCCAATATCCTATCATATACTGTTTCATATACAATTGCTCTTGCTTTCACTTTGAATTTGTCCAAGACCAAAACCTGTGTTTACGTAGTGATTTAAATAGTGAAATATCCCAAGACTCCACACAATTATCAAACAATATTTACACAGCGTATAAAATATACATAGGACAGGAAACTTCAAACTTTGCCAAAGAGGCAAACTTTAAAGGGGCATTATCTCAGAAAAATGTGATGTATTCAAGGGAACCTGGAACTAGGGACTGGAGAAGCTGAAAGCGTGGCCACTATTGGTAGAAGGGTAAAAATTGTGCCTGGGTCACATGCCAGATGTGAAGAGTGCAGAGATTATAGGGTTGGGGAGAGGCAGAGTTGGGGAGGAATTTAAAAGGAAGAATGTGAATTCTAAAATAAGTATTGGATCTAGAGCCCATATGGTTTAATGAGTATATACCAACAAGTTTGTGAATTGGACTTGGCATGAGATCGGGTTCAGTCAGCAGTTTTAGGTGCACTATTATGAAGGATGCTAAGCAGGAAGCTATATCCACTTCATGGGCTAGTAACCGATTCTAAAGGTCAGTAATAATCTGGGAATTATAAATATTTCTGACCTCTGACTTTTGCTTAAATAACCTTTCACTAGAATGTGCATGTTATCAGCTTGAAACAGTTTCTCTCGTCACAGATTCTGCCCAGTATTTTGAGTATCAGTACTTTCTGATACCCTTTCCAATTCAAGCATTGCATTGTGTGAGAGTCCTTATCACCTGGACTATCTGTATTCAGCTACTTCTTGATGTATCCACCTGACACATGCATCTTTTTTTCAGCTTCATTTTACTCTGCTTCTCTCTTCGACTAGGGCGGTTTGGGTTTGCTTATTTTGCCTGTTATGGACTGTGGAAATGTACCTTGACTGTACTTGAAATATCTTTTAATGGCAACCCATTAATCCATTATTGGCCCCAAATTAATTGTTTTTACTCTAATTGTCCTGTGTGTCTTTATAGCCAACTCAAATCCTATGATATTATGATCACTAATTTAAGTGTGCTTCTGCTGGCTGTTGATTTACTTGAAACACCAGAACCAGCAATGCCTCCTTTCTTATTAGGCTAAAACATTGGTGCTGAAAATTCCACTTTACATAGTCTAGAAATTTTTGCTCCTTTCTGCAGTTTGTGCCATTACCCCCCGAACCATCCCCTTAATTGTTTTCGTCAGGAGAACCGTTTCAATTTTCTTTGACTGCAAATATTTAATTAGCGATAATACGAACTTGATCCAGTTAAATAGTGGCTCACTAAACAAAAACAAACACAGAACTGCTAATGCTGAAAATCGGAAACAAAACAGAAATTACTGGAGAAACTCTGGCAGCATCTGTGGAGAGAAAGCAGAGTTAACGTTTTTGCCCACTGAACCTTCTGCCAAGTTTTTATAATATCTGTTTTTGTTGTAAATGGTGGCTCATTCTGATTACTTTAGCAGTTGGTCTGTCCTAATTGTAATTGGAAGCTCATGTTTAATCCCACAATGAATTATGTTAATATCTTTTAATAGGACATTTTACCCAGCACTTAACCTATGAAGATGGATTGATAATGATAAACTATACCAGAGGAGACACTTGCCATAAAATTTATGAACGGTCAACAGCCATCTTCTTCTATTGTGATCACAGTCAAACTCCGGTCAGTGAAATGATAAAACTATTCAGCTCTAAATTACTATGCATAATGTTGCATGAAGGTTGAAACTGCATCACCAGCATTAAAAGTGATTTCATCTGAAAATATTAATGCGATTGCCTCCTTTAGCCTGCCTCCTCCTGATCATATTTTTAGCACGTGTTCTGTGTGTTGTCCAATTTTGAAATAAGTTCCTTGCAAGAAAATAATTGATCTTTTGTATCTCTGGAGCCACTTACTATTTGAAAAAAACTAACATTATATCTATGGTTAAAAAAGTTGTGTTTATGATCCCTAATACCGACTACTAAACTTTGAGCTGCATAGTGGAGCATTAATAACCTGGGGATTTTAGATGTGCAAGTTTTAATAACATCTATAAATACAATTTTTTTTGTCAAACTCCTAAATTAGGCCTTTGTCTTATTTCTTGTCGTTATGTAACTAGAATTAAAATAGTGCCTTATTGCATTACACATGAACATATGGAATTCACAAATACCACTGATAAGGAGTGTCACTGCTCTACCCATTGTTGCTGAAGAGGAGTTATTAGTACCTTCCTCTGTGAAGACTGATGCAAAGTAATTATTCAAGTTCTGTGGCATTTCCTGGTTCCGCATTATTATTAGACTGCCTCATTCAAAGGGTCTAATTCAAAGGGTCTATGTTCACTTTAGCTTCTCTTCCTTTTTTATATATTTAGACATGCTATTGACATCCTCCTTTCATAGCTTGTCTTCGCCCTGTTTTTTCTTCTTCTGGTCCTCTTTTACTGGTTATTAAAATTTAACCACTCCTCTGGCTTACCACTAATCTTTGCTATGTTGTATGTGTTTTCTTTTAATTTGATACTATCATCAGCTTCTCCCTATCTTTCCAAAGCTAAATAAGCTGGGGCTATTTTCCCTGGAGCTTTGGAGGCTGAGGGATGACCTTAGAGGTTTATAAAATTTGAGGGGCATGGATAGGGTGAATAGACAAGGACGTTTTCCTGGGGTGGAGGAATCCAAAATTGGAGGGCATAGCTTTAAGGTGAGAGGGGAAAGGTTTAAAGGAGACCTAAGGGGCAATGTTCTCATGCAGAGGGTGATGCATGAATGGAATGAGCTGCCAGAGGAAGTGGTGGAGGCAGGTACAATTACAGCATTTAAAAGGCATCTGGATAGGTAAATGAATAAGAAAGGTTGAGAGGGATATGGGCCAAAATGCTGGCAAATGGGCCTAGATTTATTTAGAATATCTGGTTAACATGGACAAGTTGGACTGAAGGGTCTGTTGCCATGCTGTACAACTGTGTTTAACTTGTTCGGTCACTCATGGTTGGTTTATCCCCTTTCCTAGAATCCTCCTTTGTTACTGAGATGCATCTTTGTTGAGTCATCAACTATTTTTTTCAACTTGTGTCATTGTTCATCAGCCATCTTTTTCTGCTAATCTCCTTTACAATTCACTCTAGCCAACTTTGCCCTCATTGCTTCGTAATGACCTTTATTTAATACAACTGCTTATGACGGAAGTTTCTCACCATCATCAAGATGTTCTAGTGTGAGAGTCACCAAAAGCTAACATGCAGGTACAACAAGTAATTAAGAAGGCTAATTGAATTTTTTTTCTATTAATTTTGTGGGACGTGGCCGTCACTGGCTGGCCAGCATTTCTTGGCCATCCTTAGTTGCCCTTGAAAAGGTTGTGGTGAGCTGCCTCCTTGAACCGCTGCATTCCTCCTGCTGTGGGTTGACCTACAATGCTCTTAGGTAGGGAATTCCAGGATTTTGACCTGGCGACGTATTTGCAAGACAGGATGGTGAGTGACTTGGAGGGGAGCTTGCAGGTGGTGGTGTTCCCATATATCTGCTGCCCTTGTCCTTCTAGATGGAAGTGGTCGTGGATTTGGAAGGTGCTGTCTGGGGATATTTGGTGAATTTCTGCAGTGCATCTTGTAGATAGTACACACCGCTGCTACTGAGCGTCGGTGGTGGAGGGAATGAATCCTTGTCGATGTAATGCCAATCAAGTGGACTGCTTTGTCCTGGATAGTGTCAAGCTGCTCAAGTGTTGTTGGGGTTGCACTCATCCAGGCAAGGGAGGAGTATTCCAACACACTCCTGATTTTGTGCCTGGTAGATGGTGGACAGGCTTTGAGGAGTCAGGAGATGAGTTACTCACCGCAGTATTCCCAGCTTCTGGCCTGCTTTTGTAGCCACTCTGTTAATGTAGTGAGTCCAGTTGAGTTTCTGGTCAATGGTAACCCCCAGGATGTTGATAGTGGGGGATTCAGTGATGATAACACCATTGAATGTCAAGGGGCGGTGGTTAGATTGTCTCTTATTGGTGATGGTCGTAGCCTGTCATTTGTGTTTCAGCGAATGTCACTTGCCACTTGTCAGCCCAAGCCTGGATATTGTCCAGATCTTGTTTCATATGAATATGAACTGCTTCAGTATCTGAGGAGTCACGAATAGTGTTGAACATTGTGCAATCATTGGTGAACATCCCCATCTCTGACCTTATGATGGAGGGAAGGTCATTGATGAAGCAGTTGAAGATGGTTGGGCCTAGGACACTACCCTGAGGAACTCCTGCAGAGATGTCCTGGAGCTGAGATGATTGACCTCCCACAACCACGACCATCTTCCTATGCGTCAGGTATGACTCCAACCACTGGAGCGTTTGCCCCCGATACCAGTTGATTCCAATTTTGCTAGGGCCCCTTGATGCCCCACTCGGTCGAATGCAGCCTTGATATCAAAGGCTGTCACTCTCTCCTTGCCTCTGGAATTCAGCTGTTTTATCCATGTTTGAACCAAGGCTGTAGTGAGGTCAGGAGCTGAGTGGCCCTGGTGGAACCCAAACTGGGTGTCACTGAGCAGGTTATTTCTGAGCAGGTGCTGCTTGATAGCACCGTCACTTTACTGATGATGGAGAGCAGACTGATGGGGCGGTAATTGGCTGGTTTGGATTTTTATGTACAGGACGTACTTGGGCAATTTTCCACACTGGATAGATACCAGTATTGTAACTGCACTGGAACAGCTTGGCTAAGGGAGTGGCAAGTTCTGGAGCACAAGTTTTCAGTACTGTCGCCAGGATGTTGTCAGGGTCGGTAGCCTTTGCAGCATCCAGTGTCTCTAACCATTTCTTGATATCACGTGGAGTGAATCGAATTGGCTGAAGACTGGTATCTATAATGCTTGGGACCACTGGAGGAGGCTGAGATTGATCGTCCACTCAGCACTTTTGGCTGAAGATTGCTGCGAATGCTTCAGCCTTATCTTCTGCATTGATGGGCTGGGCTCTTCCATCATTGAGGATGGGGATATTTGTGGAGCCGCCTCCTCCAGTGAGTTGTTTAATTGACCACCACGATTCACAACTGGGTGTGGCAGGACTGCAGAGCCTAGATCTGATACGCTGGTTGTAGGATCGCTTAGCTCTGTCTATCACTTGCTGCTTTCGCTGTTTGACATGCAAGTAGTCCTGTTTGGTTGCTTTACCAGGTTGATACCTCCTCTTCAGGTAAGCCTGGTGTTGCTCCTGGCATGCCCTCCTGCACTCTCCACTGAACCACAGTTGACCCCCTGGCTTCATGGTAATGGTTGAGTGGGGGATATGCGGGGCCATGAGGTTACAGATTGTGCTGGAGTACAATTCTGCCGCTGTTGATGGCTCACAGCACCTCATGGATGCCCAGTCTAGAGTTGCTAGATCTGTGCGAAGTCTGTCCCATTTAGCACAGTGATAGTGCCACACAACACGATGGAGGTTGTTCTTGATATGAAGGCAGGACTTTGTCTCCACAAGGACTATGCAATGGTCACTTTTACCAATACTATCATGGACAGATGCAACTGCAGCTGGCAGATTAGTAAGGATGAGGTCAGGTATGTTTTTCCCTCTTGTTGGTTCCCTCACCACCAGCTGCAGACCCAGTCTAGCAGCTATGTCCTTTTAGACCCAACAAGCTCGATCAGTAGTACTGCTGCCGAGCCACTTTTGGTGCTGGACATTGAAATCCCCAACCTAGAGTACATTTTGTGCCCTTGCCATTCTCAGTGCTTCCTCTCAGTGTTGCTCAACATTGAGGAATACTGATTCATCAGCCAAGGGAGGACAGTATGTGGTAATCAGCAGGAGGTTTCCTTGCCCATGTTTAACTTGAAGCCATGAGACTTCATGGGGTCCAGAGTCAATGTTGAGGATTCCTAGAGCAGCACCCTCCCGACTGTATACCGCTGGGCCTGTCCTGCCGGTGGGACAGGACATATCCAGGGATGGTGATGGTGTCTGGGACATTGTCTGTAAGGTATGATACTGTGAGTATGACTATATCAGGCTGTTGCTTGTCTGTGAGACAGCTCTTCCAATTTTGGCACTAACACCCAGAAGTTAGTGAGGAGGACTCTGCAGGGTCGGGGCTGTTTCTGCCATTGTCTTTTCCAGTGCCTAGGTCGATGCTGGGTGATCCGTCCAGTTTCGTTTCTTTGAGTCTTTGTAGTGATTGGTACAACTGAGTGGCTTGCTCGGCCATTTCAGAGGGCAGTTGAGAGTCAACCACATTGCTGTGGGTCCAGAGTCACGTGTAGGCCAGACTGGGTAAGGGTAGCAGATTACCTCCCCTGAAGGCCATTAGTGAACCAAATGGGTTTTTCTGATAATTGGCAATGAGTTATTGGTGATCAGTAGATTCTTAATTACAGACTTTTTTATTTGAATTCCATTCCGCCATCTGCTGTGGTGGGATTTGAACCCGGGTCCCCAGAGCATCAGCTGAGTTTCTGGATTAATAGTCTAGCGATTAATACCATTAAGCCATCGCCTAGCCAATGCTGTCCTTCATTACAATAGGAATTGAACATAAATGCTTTGGTTTATGTATTCAGGACATTTGTGAAACCACATCCCATACTGTATTCAGTTTTGGCCTCCTGTGTCTTTATCCAGTGGTGTCCCACAGAGGTCAGTGCTGGAGCTCTTGCTGTTTGTGGTTAATGTAAGTTATT